CTGCCGAAAACGGTAATCAGAACTCCTGGAACTCTTAAAAAATTTTTCGACGCGGTACTTAGAAAATTTTTGACTACCTAAAAAATTTTTTAAGAGTTCCAGGAGTTCTGATTACCGTTTTCGGCAGTTCTCGACGAGTTCTATCGAAAAGTATCAGGTAACAAAGCGATTGGGCCAACGATATTCAAGATACGCGAAATTAAAGAAGTAATCAAAAATTGTTTTTTAATTTTCTTGTTTGTCAAAATTGTTTTTTATGTGTCAGGAACTCTAGGTATTCACTAAATGAAGCTATTGAGCCGCTCAGAACTATTCGATCTCGAATTTCGCTGAGAAGTTAGCACTCCATTTTTTAAAAATTATTAAAAAATTGTATTAACTGAATATCGCATTAAAAAAATACAGAGAACTCTTCGTCTCGTTAAAAGGAAGCAGGAACTCTAATCAGAACTATTGTATCTAAAAGTTAATTTTTCAAAAATTTTTAATTTTTTGGGGGTTTTTAAAAATTTTTTTTTATGCATCAAGAACTCTAGGTATTCACTAAATAAAGCTATTGAGCCGCTCAGAACTATGCGATCTCGAATTTCGATAAGAAGTTAGCACCCCATTTTTAAAAAATTATTTAAAAATAGTTATTAAGCGGAACTCTTGTTATAAATTATAGAGAACTCTTCGTCTGAACAAAAGAAAACGGGAACTCTAATCAGAACTATGGAATTTCAATATTGGGGTGCTAACTTAACACATACGCCCTCTTCACACGGAAGCAAGACAGGATCCCCAGGAAATACCTGCTGAAAAAGGCCTTTAAGGTTCGAATATTAGCTAAGGAGGGCTGGCAAGATCCTAACTTTTTAACCAATGTAAATGTGGACATATGGTACACGGATGGATCGGGAGCAAATGATCGTTTTGGGTCGGGCATCTACGGCCCCAACATCAATCATGAAGAAAGCATACTAGAAAGGTTGTCCACGATTTTTCAAGCTGAGGTACTTGCCATCTCAAGGTGTGCAGAATTCCTGATCGATAGAAGAATCAGGAACTGTATCTTTATCTGCTCGGATAGCAGAGCAGCCATAAATGCACTTGCAAAGACCTCTACAGAATCATCTGTAGTTTGGGACTGCATGCAAGCCCTTGACAAACTAAGGGAAACAAGTCAAGTCACCTTAGTATGGGTCCCTGGTTACCAGGGAATACCGGGCAACAAGAGGGCGGACGGGCTAGCAAAGCTAGGGACAGAAATGGACCTAGCTGAAGACCGTCGGAGTTCCCTTAGTGATAGGTAAAAGAAAGATCAAAGAAATGCTAGAGCGGGAGCATTTAAACTCCTGGAAAGAAACAAAGGACTGTTGGCCAGCCAAGAAATTTATGGAAAAACCTAATCCGACCAGAACAAAAGAGCTAGCAGCAATGGGAAGAGAAAAACTGAAAATGGGCATAGGCCTGCTTACTGGACATTTGCCTCTCAGAGCACACCTATTCAATGTAGGACTGGTCGAACAGTAAAACTGCAGACTATGTGGAGAGGAAAGCGAAGACAGCGTGCACTTCCTGTGTATTTGTCGTATGCTTGCCTGCAAGAGCTATAGATCCTATGAGGCCGCATGTTTCTAACACCCGAAGATCTAGGCGGAGCAAAGATAGGCGACCTCATACGCCTGGCACACGGAGCGGGACTGAGCTTGGTTGCAGTGAGGAGAAGCTTTGAGGAAAAGCAGGGAGTGATGGAACTTTAGAGATTTAGGTCACGTTAGGCGGTTGCCATAGCCCAACCTGTATTACTACTACTACTACCACCACTACCACTACTACTACCACCACTACCACTACTATTACCACCACTACCACTACTACTACCACCACTACCACTACTACTACCACCACTACCACTGCTACCGCTACTACTACTGCTACTACTGCTACTACTACTGCTACTACCGCTACTACTACTGCTGCTACCGCTACTACTACTGCTGCTACCGCTACTACTACCACTACCACTACTACTACCACTACCACTACTACTACCACTACCACTACTACTACTACTACCACTACTACTACTACTACCACTACTACTACTACCACCACTACTACTACTACTACCACTACTACTACTACTACTACTACTACTACCACCACTACTACTACCACTACCACTACCACTACCGAGCCCCTTCTGGGCCTCTGTATAAGTGATTCCTGGCAGACGTTAACATCCACCCTGCCACGGAAACGCCGACGGGACCGCTCCGGTCCTCCTCGCACACCTGGGGAACTTCCCCAGGAGAGGCCTCTCGATCCGGGAGTCGCATTCTTCCCGTGGAAGCTTGTGCCTGTGGAGCTCCAGCGGAAGGTTACCCCCGTCAGGGATCCTCGACGACGGTCATCCGCTACCACTGAGACGCAGACGGATTCCTGGTGGCCTCCGCTGCCATCGCTACCGCTGCCGCTGCCGGAGGAGCTCAACGACGTCGCAGTAGGACCGCCAATCAGCCCGTTGCCGCCAACACCAGCCAAGCCGAGGACACCAGGGCGACGAAAGAGGAGAAAGGTAAACCCTCGGTTATCCCTACAGCTCTTCGGGACGGACTCCGACGGCTCCGAAGAATAGCGATTGGCAGTACACACTGACACACGCACACGCGCTGCAAGGCGACATAAAAACTTACCATTAGTACCGAAAGGTACTCCTGTATATAGTGTACAATAAAGAGCAATCTAATTTAATTTGTGGAATCCCCTTTATTCAGCGGCACCCTTCCACAGACAGGATGCGAATACACATTTGCGGGCAGAAACGGACAGAATGCGTATCCGCATCGGCGAACAGAAACGGATAATGAAATTATGTTCACATTCGACGCATTTTTGCATAAAACGAAAGAAAAAAAAATTATATAGAAAATAATTTGTGTTTTTAAAGCAGAGAATTTGTGTAACCCTCTATGCCATCGATATGACAGATTTCCTAACTTAACGATAGTTAAGCAGCAATTTGAATAATTAGAAAAAGAAAACTTAAATGATTTATATTTCGGCGTCGAATGAGCATAGATTCATTGAAATTGAAGGTGAGGAGTGTCTTCTGCACATTCAACCTGTGCAGATAACGACGAGATTTTTCATTCGCTTTAATTGTTCAAACGACTAAATATTTGATCATTAACAACAGTTAATTTACTTATAATGTTTGAGATTTTAGTTATTATTTTTCTGTATTTTTTCCATGTTGCTTAATGCTTATTAGCATAGTATTGATTTTCATATTGATAGATTCACAGTTATTACGTGTTATAATCGACACTTTGGGGTGCTACAATTGACACCACCGCGGTCAATAGTAACAAATTGCGGCGATGCCATTAATGGTAAATATTTTTATAATTTTTTCAAATATTTATTATGTTAAAATTAACGCCAAAGAAGACCTTTGTTTTCATGTAAAATTTAGATTTTCTCTTGTTTATAATAAATTAGTTAGTCGCAAAAACCTTTTTTCTGTTACAACCGACACCATTGCACTCTCCCTATAACGCACCCGAGAGTCTAACCCGGATCTCTTGTATTTCGTATGAAAAAATGTTTATATTATAATTTTATATAATTATGTATAAAACATTTTGATAATTATGCACTTTAAGAGACACTACGACCGACGATTTTAGCTTTGACATATGGTTTCAAAGTCATGACCTTGTGTGACCTCCAACAGGTTTTAGGTGGCTGTCCTTTATTAAAAATTTGAAAAGTGATATCTCTTTTCTACTATATGAAAGGGGGGAAAGTGGGGTGGACTACCTAAAATCTGCTGAAGGTTACTTAGAATTATGATAACATATGTCAAGGTGGAGTGAAAGTCACTTCGCGTGGAAAATTGCGTGGAAAGTAAAATATATTTTAAAGCAGAAAATTTTTGTTTCATCATATACCATGGTAGTAAAAGGAAACACCATTTTTTTAAACTTCTTTTATCAATAACTTTTTAATGAAGGACAACCGCCATCTGAAACCTGTTGGAGATCATTCAGAGTGACCTTAACGACATATGTCAAGAGCAAGGTAATCGACGCGGTGTCCATTAAAGCACATAATTACCAATACTTTTCTTGGGAATTGATTAAGTAGATATTAAAAAAAAACTAGAAAGTTTTAAAATAATATATTAGAATTCTATTTATTATTACATATAAAATACATACATGTTTTATTAAAAAGCATATACATGATGGATTATGTACTTTATCTACATACTTGTGTATTTTATATTCGATTACTGTTATTAATAAAATAATATGTGCATATATTATGAACATATTTATTCAATAAAACGTTAATAAAATAATTAAACTGCCAGAGTGCGCTGAGATTAACGTTCATCAGAATTTTGGTATTGCTGCGCTTGTGTTATTATGTATTTGAAGCTTGTTAAATCCAGCTGAAAAATATTAAACAAATCTTTCCAATATAATATGCTATAATTCTTACAAGATAATATAGTCTACCAAACGATATAGCTGAAAAATCTCGAATCTTGTCATAATAACCACAAACGTTTGGTTTAACCAAAGAACAATTTAATAATTATTTGGTTATGATTTCAAAATCATTTTTCATGCATTAGAGAGGTCTATTATATACCGATATTAAAGTCATCAGGGCGGACAAAGCTGCGCTGTAAAACTGAAAAAAATATACTTTCATTATACTTAATGAAAATATTTATGTTAAAATGAGGACAATTAATAAAAAAGAATGTTGAATATGTAAATTAACAATGAAAAATATAAAAATGCATTTAACCCTTTGCGGGACACATTTTTCTTCTAAATAAATTATTGAAATCATAGGTCATCTATGAGTTTTCGGGGTCGCTGATTATGATTCTGATGTCAGAATTACAAATTCAAAATGGCGGATTCAATATGATTACCATTTTAGGCTAAATTCACAGTTTTTTGTTCAATTTGCACGAAACTGGATATACGAAGGTTTTTGAGGTCGCTGAATACGATTCCGACGGCGGAATTACAAAATTCAAAATTGTGGATCCAATATGGCGACTATTTCGGTCGAAATTCGAAGTTTTTCAAATTCCATAAATATATCAATTTTCCAAAACTTCAAAAATTTTTTTCGGTAAAACTAGCAAGCAGAAAATTGTGAAAAAAAATATATTATAGTTTTAGATGTGGAGTACACGCATAAAAATTTTCAAAGCTCTAGTACTTCACGTTTAAGAATAGTCGAATTTATTCTGAAAAAAAGAGTTTTTTTATAATATATTAATTGTTTGTAACAAAATTGCCTAAAAAGTACTTATATGCGCATACATACTGCAAAATAGATCAGAAATATGGAAAAACTAAGAATAAAAAGGTGAGACGTATACGTTCCATTGCCCCTCAAAGAGTTAATTAAGAAATGATTTCAATATTATGTTGCCATTTAGATATTTATATAATTTACAAAATTGTATGTAGAAGTATTTATTGTCTATTATATGTGTACAATTTATTACATATATACTTATACTTTTAATTAATATTGGACGTACCTGGTGAACGAAATTATATCCAAAGTGGAAAAATCCGATGCCAAATTTTACCTCCCTTAGTTTTATTTGCAACATAAATTGTAAAATCTAATTGAAATAAACAATTGAATGTCAGTTATACATTGCCTTTCATGAAAGTTCAGACATTAGCATAAATTCTATCAAATGGCCATAAAATTAAGGCATTATTATAAAACATCAATTATGTTACATTGTTAGATATGAAAGGAGCAATCCAATCTCTTAAATTTATCTATTATGTTTTCATCATACTAGATTATCGAATTCAACAATCGATCTTCCAATCGTTTGTAAGCAAATTCGTATATTCAGTGAAGCACTCATTGAACATCGCACAACGCGCGTAATAACTTTTCTATAGTTATTTGATGTATAATATACTCGCTTATGACAAGTGAAAAATGCTTAAACTAGCAACCGAAACATGTAATGTTATGATCATTATTTCAATTTTTATTTAATGTAATCATAGTTGATTTCTATTTCAAAACATTTTTTAACTTTTTATTTGTGCGAACTTTATAACCGACTTTTACATGCCTTTTCCATTATTTTTATTGTTAATTTTGACATCAAGAGTCCTTGTATTGTTTAATTTACCCTTAAGTCTTAAACAATATTACGTTATTTTTAACTTCAATATGTGTCAAAATCAATCAATTTTTCAGTTTCAAACAGCGTCCATATTAATAAGTAAATTTGAGACAAATTTAATATTAAACTAAATAACGCTGATTGCAAAAGTTTTATAAATTATTTTTAATTTTATATGCTAAAATGTTTAGCGTTTATTTGATAGAACATTGATATAATCGATAAATTTCAAATGTTCTCTTTCGGCATAAAATGAAAAAAATTTATAAAATTTTTTCTAGTCTATATATTCTTAGTCTATTGGTAGCTATAATGTTAGTATGTGCACAAGTATCCTAAAATATACAAGAGTATAATACAATTGCTCTTTTATAATATAATGTTTTAATTTTTTGCATAATCGTTGAGTAAAATTTATGCAGGTATTCGAACTTCCATGAACGCTAAAGCCGAGTAAAATTACGCATAGAATGGTTAAAATTTTCTGTAACATTTTATCGTAATTATTTACCTGTTTACGTAAGTTCTCATCGAGATTATAATTGGATAATTTGTGAAGAATTGCTACTGTCTCGTTTATCTGAAATTATTTTTATACAATATAAAAATTTGTAATAAAATTGAAAATTTTGCAACGAATAAATAAGGTTATTTCGAAGAAAACTTCAATATGTATAAATTTATTGTTACGAAATTGCTGCTTGTGCTTATTATTCTAGTTATAAATAATTAGTAATGTTTTAATTCTAAATTGAAAGAAAAGATTGGTTGATGCTACAAAATTTAGATAATAAAATATGGCATAGCATTTTTAATCGATTGCAGCAACCAGTTTTTGGTTGCATAGCAGCAAATTTTTAGTTGCGTCAGCCTATCGAAATCATATACTGACATTGCGAATAAGCTAACGCAACTAAAAATTTGCTGCTACAACCAAAAACTGGTGGCTGCAGCAAATTAAAAATGTTATGCCATATTTTACTGTCTAAATTGTTGCAACCAATCTTTTCTTTCAGTGTACTATACCTTATGGTAAACAGTTTGACATATGTAGTTTAATGCAAGAAAGAACGCGCTAACCAGAATAAAAAACGAAATTGAAATTGAATAACCGCAAAAAAATCTAAATGACAACAGTTGAAA